CAGTAAGATATATAGCCCCAGCTAGGTGCTACTTTATAGGATGCCTAAAGTTAGACTTGTGTTCATGGAAATGTATATATCAGCTGTGTTTGCTATGAAAATATTTAGATTAATTAAGATCTTTAGTAATTCAATAAAAAATGGGGGGGGAACAGTATAGAAAGTAAACATAGATACCAGGGACTGTGTGGGAGGAGAGTGGGAGATGGCAGAGGGTAAGAGATAGGGAATCAAGGATGGGGGGAAAAAGGCAAAACATACAGGAACAAGAAATGAAAAATTATTTGTTATAATAACATGTTTGTTGATGTGCTTGATTGAGACAATATACAGTGTACTCTGGATGGAAAATCTCATTTTGTATGCTGTAATGATGTACAGTGAGTGAACGTAAACAAATTGGAAAAAAAAATATATATAACCCCCCCAAAAAAAATCCAGCCTCGTGACTGATATGCAACACATACTCATAAAAAAGGCTGGGGGGACAAAGGGAGGCAGACAGAAGTGCAGCAGTAACACAGCTGGGCCCACATAGGAAGGTCCAGGGTTCACATCCCAGGGTCGCACCCCAGCTCACACTGGGCACAGAGAGCACCCACAGTCCAGGGTGGCCAAGGCTGGGAGTGGGTCCCAGCATGGGCACCCTTTGGGTGTATCTGTCTGTCTCTCCCTCATGGAAGAAAGAAACAAACTTTTAAAAAGGAGGGGGAAATAGCATTGTGCTTTGGCAAGATCCTGTGGCTGCCTCTACCGGGCAACTCTGCAGAGGCCAAGGACCGTGATGACACCCAGGCCACACAGGCATGCTCAGAAGGAAGGGTTACTAGACAGAGGGCAGACGGCCTTCTCCCCCCTCCTGCCTCACTCCTCCTCAAGCCACGGTCCCCTCTGCTCTGCCCCCAATGCAGCAGTTAACCTCAGTCCTGCTCCCGGCTCTCTCTCAGGCCATCGCAGGGCCCGCTCTGATCTCTTGGGTCCCCCTATAAGTCTCTACTTGCATGAGAACACCCCACGCGCCCCCACCCATGGTAACCCTGGGCCTCCTGGGCATGATAGTGCCCAGCTTCCAGATGTGGGTGCCGGGTTCCTGGCTGCATGCACTTTGTAGAAATGAGCCAAGCCATGCATTTGCAATTTGTGTACTTAACCATCAATAAAAACAGAAAATAAAAATGAAGCCACCCTGGCCTGGCATCCTCTTCACAGCACTCACCCTACCTGACACCCCCCTTCTTCTTCCTCCACGGGTTATTATCCCACACACACGTATCCCATGCTCGCACATGCCTGCTCCCACCAGAACATGAGCTCACAACAGCAGGAACATGGCTGTCACTGTCACGTGTGTGGCCAGCAACAGGCGCAGCACGTGGCTGGCACTCAGGAAGTGCCGGCGTAAAGATGGAGAGTGGGTCCTGCCTGCTGCCAGGGGGTGCCCATGCCGGCCGAGGGCACGGGAGCCTGGGCCGAGGGCCTCACCTTCTTCTGCATCTTCTCCAGCAGCTTGCTCTTGGCCCTCACTTCCTCCTGGATGGAGTCGTAGACGTTGAGCAGCACCCAGTCCCCACCGTCCTCGTCGGCGTTCTGCAGGGCGGCCACCAGCTGCTTTCTGCGCTCGTCAGCGTACCGCTTCCTCCGCTTGTGCTTCTCCTTCAGGTCCTTGTTCTTGGCCTGCTCCCCTCCCACCACCTGCTGCTCCAACAGCTGCAAACTGCCCGCGCGGGGGAGAAAGCAAACGTGACAGTGTCTGCCCATCACTGAGCACTTGTTCTCCGGCAGGCTCTGGGCTAAGTGTGATCCCCCGAACACACCCAACAGCCCCCCTCTCCCCCAGAGGTAAGCTGAGGCTCGGGCAGGGAAGGTGCTTGCCCGGGGCCAGAACCTGGATCCCTACCATATGCACCCAGCTCCGTGCCCTGGCACTCGACTGCACCAGTGGGCCTGCCCACGGTGAGGCTGGGGGCTTCTGTGGGTTCAGACTCACCCACCCAACAGTGAGGACGAGGGTTTCTGTGGGCCCAAAGCTCACTGGCCCGCTGCACCGCCTCCTAGGGCTCATGGCCCCTAAAGCCGGGCAGGCTGGCGCAAAGCTCTGAGCAACCAGAAGGGTCAGAACAGCCCCGGGCAGTGAGCACTGAGTACATTCGGAGCACCGAGCTGAATCCAGTAGGGACACGCACAATACAGATCTTAACATCCTTACATCCCAATGTTTTGAGATATTTATATCTCAAAGATGTTTAGTTTTGCCTTTTGAAAGCACGAATTTTACGGAACTACAGAGAAAGGCTCCCACGGAAGCTGGCTAATACAGCCCCTCACAACGTGCTAGACCCTACCCCTTCCAAAGGACAGGAGCTGGCACCGGATATAAAGGGGGAGACAAGCCCACGCTCAAGGGAGGAAGCAGAACCTGGTGACAGAGCTGGAGGCTCACTCTGCCTCAGGCTTGGCGCTGAGCTCAGGCACCAGGGCAGAAGGGAACCACGCCTAGGTCGCGCCTCGATTTTAAGCCCTTCTGTGGGCCCTATAGCAGGGTGCCCACGTACCTACGGGGAACCCACAGGGCCCCCATATCTCAGCTTCCACTGCACTGACCACCCCTAACTCAGGCTGGCCCCCAACGCCTTGCCTGTGGAGGTGCTGTGTTCCACCTACAAAGTCGCTCTGGGGTGCTTGTCCTGCAGACCCACTCAGGCATCCGCTCATCCAGAGGCCTCCCCCGACCTCCTCTCCAGACCACATCGTGGACACAGTCTCGACAAGTGCCAGCGCTCTCTGTGCCCGGGGCTGGGCTGCCGCCTCTGCCAGCGCTGAGCCATTCGACGCTCGCCACAGACTTCCCAAGTGGGGACTATCAGCGTCTCCCATTTTGCAGATGAACTCAGGCACAGAGGTCTGAAGCCTGCCGAGGTGGCGGTGAGTGGAGGAGGTAGGGCAGGCGCTCAGGTGGTCAGATGGTCCAGCCCAAGAGAACGTGGCCTCCGGCCTGGACGGTAAACCTCTAAAGGCTGAGGCAGCACGTCATTCGCATTTGCATCCTGGTGCCCAGCACTTAGTAGCTGCTCAGTTAGTCTGAACCTCAGCTTTGGGGCTGGCTGGGAGGATGCTGAGCTCCTGGCTGGAGGCTGAGCCTCGCAGGGAGGCAGGGATGACACCCTCACTTACAGGAGTGAGAACGAGGCTGGGGGAGGTAAAGTTAAATGAATGACACACTGCACAGCGAGTGCGGGAAGGCTCCCCAGGTGGTCCGAGAGCCTGGGGGTGGCATGTCCCAAGGGCCAGCGAGCCTTATGTCAGGGAGGACACTGGAGGTCAGGAGCTGGCGCTCAGCTGGGACCCTGAGAAAGCCTGCAACACCCTCCCTTGCAGTTCCGTGAAAGCCAGCCGGGCAAGGAGGCCTGGAACAGCCGCTCCCTGCGGGAGGCTTCCTGGAGCCAGGTGGGAGCCTGTGCAGCCCGAGTTGAACCCTCCTGCCCTGTGGACTCTAGCACCATGCCCTCCCACCTCCTCCTGGGGTCCCCTCAGCCACAGCGGGAGGCAGAGCTGAGTGTGGGCTCAGCGGGCAGATGGTGGGGAGCCTGGGACAGGGCTCCTTCCCTGCAGGGTCCCCACAGCCCTGAGCCCCGGGCTTACCGGGCGAGCACCTGCTGCTGGTCCACGAGGGGCAGGTCGTCGGTCAGCACCACCACCTCCACGCCCCCGCTCTCCCTCCGCACGCTGGCCGGCACCAGCAGGGGCTGAGGCTGGGCCAACGCGGTCTGGACCTCGGCCTCGGCCTCGGCCTCGGGCCACACACCAGGCTCTGCCTTCAACACCAGCTCACCGGCTGCTCCTGAGGCCAGGCCAACCTCCTGGTACAAAGAGAAACCAGGGTGGAGGTGGGAAGGCTGCCCTGGGGGCGGGCCCACAACCTGCCCATTGCAGTCCCCTGGGACAGATCGCCTCTTCCCAGACACCAGTTACACAGAAATGCACCCTGCTGAGGTCTTACGTCCCATCAATGTCCCCCAGGCCAGCCTCCTAGCTCCCCTCTCGTCCCCCAAGATCCAGTTTCCACATGGCAGCCAGCAATGTCCTTAAAATGGAAAGTGGCCACATCCCTTTCCCGTTAGTCCTTCCTGGTTCCCCATCATACTCACAGGGACATCCAGACTTCCCCAGGCTGTCACCCCCACCCCCCACACCTGTTCCCTGCTCCCCCCACAGCTGCCTGCCCTGCCAGCACCCTGGCCTCACTCTGCACCCAAGAAAGGCAACACCAGGCCAGCATGGGGCTCAGCACTTGCCACCCCGTTGCTGAAGAGGGCTTGCTCTTCCCCTGGTCCTTCTTGCCCGGGGTCCCCTCTCGATGTCACTTTCTAGCCAGGGCTTCCCCAGCCGGTCTATCTACAGGCCACCGAGGAACTGAGGGGGCCGGCTGCACCCCGCCCAAGTCCAGAGGGAGCAGGCTGTCCTTGAGCAACCTGGCTGGATTTAAAACCTCTCTCTGGCACCCCTGTGGTTCACAAGCTGTCTTACCAGAAGAGACTGGGTGGGACCCAAACCAGGTGCCACCCGGGGTTCCTGTCAGTGCCTCCGGGGCCACCAGCCCAGCCTGCAGCCCCACCCTCTGCCCACGCCAGCTTCAGCTCCTATAGGCAAAGGGCAACGCGGCTGGGAAAGTGGAAACCGCCATCCAGAACAAGGGTCCTGACTCGCTCGGCAAGCGGAGACGTGACGGGCCCTGGGATCGGCCTCCGCTGGGCCACGGGCCACCAGCCAGGAGCCCAGGAGGGCTGGGGTTGCCCGCCGAGTCTCTGGGGAAGGCGACGAGGTAGAATGGAAGTAGAATGGAACCCAGTCCTGCACAGAGGGTCAGCACCCAGGGCTACTCACAGTCCTGAGGACGCCATCGGCCACCTCGGCTTCAGCTGTGGCATCAGTGGGCTCCAGCCAGTCTGTCGGGGAAGGGTGCTTGGAGGAGAACAGGGTCGGGGAGGAAGAGGGATGGTTTAGGGCTAGAGTCATCCTCTGATCTGCCCCTGCCCTCAGCTTCAACCCCCCAAGGCTACTGAGCCCAAACTCCTGCTTCTCGCTGCTGAGAAGGGGCACAGAGGGGTCGGGGTGGGGGGAGAGGACATCGGAGAGACGCACGTGGCCTGCACCTCCCGTGTGCCAGGAGCGCCCCTGTCTGTCTGAAGCACACGCCAGATCCCCATTTTACAGATAAGGAAATCGAAGCCAAGAGGGGGACTGCCCAGGGCCACACCACTAAGGAATGGTAGAGCCAGGATCTGAACCCAGGTCTGTCTGATTTAAAGGCCTGTACGCACAGGAAGGGAAGGCAAGGACAGAAAGGGGAAGAAAGGGAAAACAACTGTCAAACGTCCAAAGAGGAGGGACAGGGAGCAGGCTGGAGCAGCCGCATCCCCAGACCCCCACCCAGCACCCTCTGCCCTGAGCCTGCAAGTATGCAGGTCCACCATGGCCTCCCAGCTCCTTCAGGAGGGCCTGGAAGCTTGGTGTAACCATGACAACTAGGCCAACTCTCTGAACACGTGTACACCTGGCTTGCCCTACTGACTTTCAGAGCCTCGGAAAGGGTGTCTCTTTCCCAGAACCCTGCCTATGACTGCCCCTGGGCAACACCAGCCCACCCACCCCAGAGCCACGGGGACGGTGCAGGCCATGCCGGGGTTGCAGAAGTTGGTGCTGTGCTGTGAGCTCCAACTTTTGCACATAATCGTACGTGACATCAACTACCTGCTCAGGAACCTTGGGGACCTCTGCCTGCAGTTCATCTGTCTTAGCCAGAGAGGAAGAGAGTCTGGCCAGCTTGGCCTCCACCTCAGCAAACGGGTCTCGCAGGCTTGGTAGCATCTGCAGGGGCGCCAGCTGCAGCTCCTCTTCCTGAGGGTAGGCCTCCTCCTGCAGCCAGGGCCTGGCGACCTCCTGGCTGAGACACTCATCTGAGAAGTCTTTGCTCTTAGATGCCACCTCGGGTGTGGGGAACCCCACGTTGGATGGCTCCCCAGGCCCGGGGATGGTCTCAGACATGGAAGCTTCTTCGAATGTGGATGACTCCTCTGAGCCAAGAGAAATCTCCGACCTGGAGGGCTCCGCTGTGCGCAGATCCACAGACCTGGACGAAACCTCAGGCTTGGAGACAGAGCCACTGGGTAGAGCGTCAGGCATGGAAAAGATCGTGGGCTTCGCCGTCTCATACTGGAAGGCCGGCGAGTACTCAGACCTGCTGGCAAACTCAGCCCGGGACAAGACCTCGGCCTTATACAGGACTTCCGCCTTCAGGACTGCCTCTGCAAAACAGAGAGCTTCCTTCAGGGCCTCAGGGGTTAGAAAGAGGGGGACTCTGCCCTGAAGTTGGCCCCAAGCCCTCTATCTCCCCAACAAGTCCCCAGAGCCACCAAATCCTGCCTCCTCCTACCTCTTTCAGGACGCCTTCCCTCAACGACGCCATGAGATCTCCATTCTCTGATCTCACCGGGCACTAAGTCCTGGGCTCTTTACTCGGCAGCTGCCTTCCATGGCTAAGAGCTCGTGGTCAGCAGGTTCACACTCAAGACCCCTAGGTGTCCCCTCTGTGGTGCCCAGCTCAGGGCTCCTCACCACAGCGTGTGCTCCGGCTGGAAGAGTCAGGTGAACCCTTCAGACTGATGGAGAACTAATATTCAAACTCAACTTGGAAGGGACACTCCGAAGGACCAAAGATGTCACCTCTGGGTCTCCACCAGCAGGGGTGCCTCCCTCCCATCCTGCTGGGACTATGTCTACACCGGCCTCCGTAGGGATCCCAGCTCGGGGCTTTTAGACACTCCTTGGACACTCCATCTATTTCCTTTCATCTGCGTCCCAGGCTCCTCTGCAAGGGTCCTGGCCTTCCCTCTGCTGAAGTGTGACACCTGCTCCCCAGCCTGGTGACCTGAACCTCTCAGCCTCTCCTTCCGCGCCACTATGGGAGGGTCCAGGAAGCTCTACCTCACCAGGCTGTGGGGGGTCGACTGAGGGGTGCAGGTACAGCACTGACGTGTCCTGGCACACAGTGGTGCCAACCAGTGACCCCATCACACCGCTACAGACTGGGCTCACAGCATTTCCGGGCACTGAGGAGCCCGGGCTTCCGGGCAGCGTGGGTGTTGGGGAAGGCCTGGTGTGGTAGGGCATCCTACACAGCGGTCACCAATCTTTCTGAGCCAGGCCCAGTTTTGTGGAAGACAATGTTTCCACAGACCAGGGTCAGAGCTGGTTTCAGGACGATGCATGCACATTAAACTGGGTGTGCGCTTTGCTTTTATAGGATTATTGTTTTAGGTTTTTGCCATAGGGCATATGTGCTCACTGGAGAGACACAGAGAGAAGGAAAGAAATCACCCTGGCCGGGGGGTGGGAGGAGATGGTCACACTACAATCCCCTCTTCTCCATTCTCCTCCTGGGATTCTGGGCACACATGGCCACATGCCTGGTGTGATTTTCAAACTGCTGGGTCCAGGACTCAAACCACAGTCAACTCTGTGGGAGTTCAATGCCTTGACCACCACACCACCTGCTGGTTGCTACTTTTATTATTATTATGTTGTAATAATAATGACCAGGACTGGTCAGTGGCCAGGTGGTTGGGGACCCCGTCCTAGACTGTCAAACAGAAGATGAAAACTTTTGAACAGGTCAAAGTTCTTGCTAATGACTCAACTCTTATGGGATCTGGTGGCTTTGCTAGCGGATTGGCTTAAAAGTGAGAGGAGACTAGAAAACGCAGGAACTCGCCTCTGAAACAAGAGCGAGCATTTGTAATTCCAGGCCCAGTTTGTGGGCCATCGAGAGGCAGCATTAGGGGAGAGAGCGCTGGCTCTCGGACCTCCGCCTGGTCCCCGTGCTGGTCCGCTTTACCAGCTGTGTGACTGTGGACAAGCTGCCTACCCTCTCTGTGTCTCAGTTTCCTGTCTATACAATGAGGGTAAATGTGGTGGCTACCTGGCCGGACTGCTGTGAGGATTTAGTAGAACCAAGCCTGGTGTACAGGAAGTGCCGTAGAGCCAGCAGATGGTGTGGAGATTAAGGCAACTGGATCCCACGAGACAGACTATGAGGTTCGAATCCCGGACCAGGCTGTCTGAAAATCACGCTGGGCACGCGTGTGTACACCCAGAATCCCAACAGGAGAAGGGATTGTGCGTGGCTACCCCCCCAGGGGGGGACTTTCTCGCCCTCCCGCTCTGTCTCTGGCAAGGGCACGCGACTTGTACAAACTAGAGAAACAGGAAGTGCTCTGTGAGTCAGTTACTGAGAGGAGGAAGGGGCGGGCCCCCAGGGCAGGCCCGGCAGCCCACCTGTCTCCTTCCTCAGGTTCTCCTCCAGCGTGGACAGCCTCACGTCGTAGGAGTTGCGCATGGCGGTGATGTCCTCCTCCAGCCTGGCCCGGGACTCCTGCTCCGCCTCATAGTCGGCCTTCAGCCGCGCCAGGCGCTCTTCATACTCCTGCATGGGACGGGGGCGTGGGGCAGTTACCGCCACCTCAAAGCCCAACTCCCAGTGACCCTTTATTTGTTAACAATACAGAAAATGAAGGGAGCCAAAAAATGAAAATGAATCCCATACACGCCCTGTGATGGCTACTTGCTAGTGAAGACTTTTCTGAGCTATTCTACAGGTGTTTTCCTTACTTTTTCTTTTTTTCTCCCTTAAACAGGGCCTCAAAGTCACCAGCCTAAGACTCAACCTCCCAAGCAGCAGGGACTGACGGCCACAGCATTCGATGGTCAGGGCGGGCCAGGAATCGAACCTGGGCCTCCCATGTGACCTCACCCTGCACAGCAGCAGGGGCCAGCACACGTTGGCGAGGCTGGGCCTCTCTCTGTGTTGTGTTTAAATTCGTTACAGAGTGTGTGTGCTTGCCAGGGGGTGGGGGCCGCGAGAAAGTGAGAAAGCACCCCAGGCAGACGATCACCCGCAATCCCTTCTCCTCCAGTCTCCTCTTGGAATTTTGGGCATGCACACACACATGTGACTGGCATGTTTCTCAAGCCGCTGAGCCAGGACACGAATCACACAGTCAGCCATATGGGACCCAGTGCCTTAACCATCATGCCACCAGCTGGCCCAATGATATATTTTTGTGTGGTGAAAAACAGATCACAAATACATATATTACTAGCCTGTTAGAATACAGAGAGGGTCAGCCAGTGCTTTGGTGGTAAAGGCAGCTGCATCCCAAGTGGCCAAATCCAGAGTGGAGCCTGGACCCACTGGCTTGAAAAGCACATGGACAGGAGGCACACATGGCATGGTGGTCAAGGTGTGGGACTCCCATATGGCCAACAGCAGTTCAAGTCCCAGATCTGATAGCTTGAAAACCATGCTGGGCACAGGTGCATGCATGCCCCAAATCCCGAGAGGACAGTAAGAGATTGTGGTGTGACCATCCCCACTGGAGGGGGGGGCGTGATTTCTCACTTTCCCTCTCACTTTCTCTTTCTCTTTCTAGCAAGCACACTCTCTTTCTCTTTCTAGCAACCACACATGCCCTAGGGAAAAAATATAAAAAAAAAAAAAAAAAAGAAGAAGAAAAAGAAAGAAAAACACACCAGGCATGTGTGTGCACACCCACAACCCTGAGAGGAGAATGAAGGAGGAATTGGACTTCCACTCTTGCCTCTGCCCCAAACCCTTCTCCCCACAGCCACCAGGTACCCACGACCGCACTTCTCGGATCCTTCACGAATAAACTCAGTTCTTCAGCTTCATCCCCCTGATCCTTTTTTGTTGCATTCAGGGACTCCTAGACCCGCCCACTTCTGCTGCCTGAGGGCTTAGTAAGAACCTCTCCCGAGCTCCGAACACCCTCCCTCCCAGCGGCGTCCATGCCCACATTGTCGGAAGACCGCTGCCCCTCACCCCCACTCTTGTCCCCTCACCTACTCTCCTTAGCATGCACGGACGTTTCCTTTATTCTCTTTATTTGCTTACAGTTTATTCCAGATTCCCCGACCAGGACGTGTCCTCCCAGAGAGCAGGGGCCCTCCCGCCCTGCAGCCCCAGTGTCTCGCACTGAGCAGGGCCCGGTAACACCCTGGGACCCCACGTACAGGAAGCAGAACTGCTGGGCTCCAGGGTGTGAGGACGCCCAGGCCTCTGACATACAGCTTCCGAGGAGGGCAGGGCAGCTAGGAATTAATGCTAGCCCGTGCTCCTGTGCACCTGGGGCGCCCACAGCTGGGATAAGCCAGAGGGAGAGGGGGACAGGGCACACTCCCAGCCCTGAGGATCCCTTTGGCAAGGAAAAACCGATACAGACAGTGCTGCTTTGGCTTGGAGGAGGGGACCGAATGCTGCAGCTCCGACTGACACATTTTCAGAGAGCTGAGCGTCACACCAACACCTGTGACGTCACGGAGGCTCAGGGAGCGTCCCTGGCCACATGGCTCTCTGATGGCCTCCTGGAGACCTTGGGCCCACAACCTGTCCACCTCCTTCCAACCTCACCCCTCCTTCCTTCCTCAGTACTCCATGCTCAGCACCTTCCAGAGCTTTCTCCATCCAGACCTGACCCTGGTAAAAGGCCTTCCACTTTGAACTGTGGGGTCCTGAATTGCAGATGAGCCTCTAGTGGCAGCCCCATCCCAGCAGCAGAGGGACCTGCTGGTCTCTGGCACCTCAGAGCAGCCTGGCCAGAGTAGCTGTTCTCTTGGTCACCACCAGGGGGCGGCGGCGCCCTGTGTACTCAAAGCCGAGGCTTGCCTTCACGGGAGGAGGCTCCCGCCCTACTCCGCGTTTGACCTAAGCACACTTCAACAGGGAACCTCTTTCCTTTCTGAGTTGTGCTCAGCCATTCCCAGAGGCCTCCCTACCCACTGGCCCTGCACCTGACCTCAGAATGAGCAGCTGGGCCCCAGAGCCTCCGTGGGGACCACCATTTAGCTTCTGCCCGAACAGTAGAAGCCTGCACCTGTCACCGGCACCTGTCACCTAAGACCTAGACCTTACCTGGGCTGCCCCTAGAGTCTGGGGCCTATGGGGGGCTTCCAGGGCCCAGGGCTGGTCCCAGCTCTAACTGAGTCAGCACTGAGTGGCAGGGCCCACTGCGGGCACACGCAGGCCCCGGCAGAGCAGCCCCAGCCTGGCTCCAGGCTCTCTATCAGGAAGAGCCAGTGCCCTAGAGGGGCTGTTGGGGGAGGGGGGAAGGAGTCCACATGGGCTTGGCTCAGAACAGCCTCCAGGGGCAGCTGCCTCGGGAAACCAACGGAGCCCAGGGTCAGGGTAAGACCATGTCAGAGCAGCTCCAGAAACCAGGCCCTGCCTGCCTTGCTGCTTCCGGGGTGTTGGGAGGCAATCCATGGGCTCAGGTCCCTCCACCCACTCGACTGCCCTGAGCCCAGGCCTGTGGGCAGCTGCTGGGGCAGATCCCGTCCACTCTGACCGCCTCACCTCTGCACGGTCGTTCCAAGGGCAGCTTCTCGCTTCCATCAACCCACGTCCACCCCTTCCTTCAGTACTGAGGGTAGGCATGCTCCAGGAGCACCCCCATCCTCTCCGCTCTCCCTACATGGCACTGACATGCATGGACTGCACTCTGGGGTCAGGAACCCAAGTTCAAAGCCCAGCCCAGGCTCCTAGCTGTGTGACCTGGGCAGCACGGCCTCCTTTGAGCCTCGGTGCTCTGAGCCACGGCCGAGGGGAGGCAGTACCGCCCCACAGCGAAGCCGAGGGTGGAGTGCCTGTGCCAGAGCTGTGTCCTCCAGGCCTGCCCGCCTCGCCACCCGCCCATCCTCCACCGACCGGGGCCTCACCTCTCGGATCAGCTGCTTCTCGGCCTCTGTGTCCTGTGGGGTCCCAGATGGAGGCAATGGCTTCTCCTCAGCCTGGACAGAGTTTAGGGGTGCCTGACTGGCCAATAGGGCTGTGAGGAAACAGAAACGAGGGCTCAGTGAGGTGCACGTGGGCTGCAGGAACAAGGCCCATGAAAAGATGAACTCTGTGGTCACTCGAAAACACTGAAGTGTGCAACTTTTTTTGGAGAGATTTTTGCTATTGGACATGTGCACTTACCTGAGAGACAGAAAGAGCCGGAGAGACAGAAAGCGAGAAATCACCGCAGGGGGGGATGGCCACGCTGCAATCCCTTCTCCTCCATTCCCCTCTCGGGATCTTGGGCACACCTGCACATATGCCCAGTGAGGTTGAGGCCACCGGGTCCAGGACTTGAACCGCAATTGGCCACGTGGGAGTCCAGCTATGTAACCACGGTGCCATCTGCTGGTCCCAGCATGCAACTTATTTCAAACACGTCTCCATGTACAAGTCACGTTACACGCACAGGTGTTCTCGATCCTGTGGGTGCAGCACGAGCCACACTCCCACCCACGCTGAGCCCCCCACTGGGGGAGCAGCAAGCTGTACTGACAACCCAAATGCTTAACCCGCTAGGAGGCCAGGGCCCTAAGAAGACAAAGACGGCAGGGATCGTGGTGAGGAGTAAGCAGCAGGAGGAACTGCATTTTACATGGCGGCGCCGAGGGAGACCTCCCAGTCACAGCAGGATGGAAGTAAAGGGAGCCTGAATCCAGGTGGGCACAGAGCCTGGAGCTAAGCTTCCCAGGCATCTGGGGGCAGTGTGTGCAAAGGCCCTGCGGCAGGCGTGGTTGCACTGGCCCAGGGATGGCCAAGAGCCCAGGGTGGCAGCAGCGGAATGAGGGGTGGACAGGGAAGCAGAAAGGGAGGTACAGAGAAGGTGGAGACAGCAGGCCAGACCTTGAGGGCTGGGGAGCCACCGTGAGGGCTCTGACTTCGCTGTGGGTTGAGTGGGGCCCCTGGGTGGAGTGAGCAGTGCAGAACGGCCCTTGCACTTGAACAGGACCCCCAGCTGCAGCGTGGGGAATGCTCAGAGCAGGACGGAGGCAGGTACCGGAGACCGGGGGGGGTGACTGCAGTTTAGGAAAACATTCCAGCAGTCCAGGCCAGGCAGCAGCAGAGGACTCCGGCATGTTCTGAAGGTAGAGACAACGGCACCTTGCTGGCAGATTGGATGTGGATTTGAGAGAGTGAGAAGCCAAGAAAACCCCAAGGTGTCTGCCTTGAGCACTGGGGAGGACGGAGTGACCATCTGCTGGGCAGGGACAGCTGCAAGGTGAGATCTGGGGGCCTGGACGAGATGGGTAGGAAAGCCCACTAGACGGCTGCGGGGATGCACACGGGAGTTACAGGCACAGAGGGGGCCGATGCCACGAGACCACAGGGAGGATCGGGAGGACAGACCTGGCTGGCCTAGACGGAGGTGAGGAGGTAAGGAGGGCTCTTCCCAGGGCCCTGAGACAGAGCGGCTGCAGAGGCAGGGAGAGCCAGGACAGAGGGCAGCCGGGCAGCCAGGCGGTGGGGAGGTTAAAGCACCCGGACCCACATGGCCAACTGTGTGGTTCAAGTCCTGAACCTGGTCCTTGAGAAGCCTCTAGGCACGTGTGCCAGTGCCCGAAGTCCTGAGGGGGAATGAGCAAGACGGGATTGTGTGACTTCTCGCTTTCCCTCTCTTACAAAGAAAGGAAGGGAGGGGGGGAGGAAAAAAGACGGCAGCCGGAAGATCGAGCTTCAAGAGGGGATCAGCTGAGTCAGCGTCTGCTGAGGGCAAGGCGAGGCCAGCTGAGGGCTGTCACCGCATTGAACGACAAGGCCATCGGTGACCAGGGCAGGACAGGGGCAGGGTCTGCCTGGAGTAGAGGCGAGAATGAGTGGAAGGAAAGAAACTGTGACCAGAGAAAAGAGACAAGGTCCCATTTACTGAGAGAGAGAGAGAGAGGCACGGCAGTAGCCAGAGAGCTGGGGCTGAGGGGTCACGTGTCCCTGAGCCGGGGAGCACGTGGAGCTCCATGGAGGCACCCCTGGCTGCGAGGCCCAGCCCACAGGCAGGGCAGCTCACGCGGTCTATGCCCACGTGCCGCACTCTGCGCTCAGGCCGCACGTGCGTTCCTCCCAGACAGTCCCCCCAGCTCACAGGGGCCAAGTCCCCTCCGGAGAAGCAGCAGGCGGGCTGGCCAATTACCCGCCCTCCACCCAATGCCGCCCCAGTCACTTCAGTGCGCCGCGCCCCAGGTCCCTGTCCAGGAAGAGGGGACACGAACAGCTGGTGCCCTGGAAGGCTGCTATGACTACTGGGAGGTGACAAAGGTTAGCTGTGAGTTTGGGGACCCCCCCTGGCGGAGCCCGGCCCTGCGTCTTGGTACCTCTCACTGCCTGACCTCCCCTACCAGTCCCGGAGGTGAGCAGGGCCAGGGTGGGAAGGAAAGGAAGAGGGGGAAGATGTTTGTCAAGTGGAATCCCTCACCATGGCGGTCGAGGCCCCCATTCCAGCCCCTGCCGCCGCCGCCTGACTGCACCTCCCTTCTCCCCAGGCGGCCAGCAGGAGGCACGGTACCCCGGTGTTCTGAGAGTTGTGTGTGACTTTGAGCACTGGCCTGCCATCCTGACAGGGCACTTCCTCATCCCCCAGAGTCCGTTCAGTCTCTGCCCTCTGTGACAGTCCCAGCCCCGGACGGGCTGCACACTCCTTTCTGTCCCCACAGCTGTCTGCCTGCCCTAGAGTTTGTCTTGCTGCTCATGACCGTCTGCTGGAGTGTCCCTCTCCCACCCAGGGACAGCCTGGATCTGAGGCATCTGCGTCCTAGCACAGCCCCCACAAAGAAGAGGTACTTAGGGGCTTGGCGTCAACGGGCAAGCGTGGGACAGGACCGGTTAAAGAATGGAGGGCTGGATGGAGTGGAAGAATGGGCCAAAGAGGGAGTGGGTGGGGGGGGTGTACCAAACGGCTGGAAGGACGGGGAGGAAAGAGGGGTGGATGTGTGGGCAGGCAGGTAGGTGAGTGAATGGTAGATGCATAAACAGAAGGAAAGAAAGAATAAAGAACAAATCGACAGGTGGACCAGAGGACGACGGGTAGGTGGGAGAATAGAAGGAAAGATGGATGGATACATGGGTGGGTGGGTGAACAAATAAGGTAGGTGGGTGGGCGGGTGGATGGGTAGATGGATACATGGGTGGATGGGTGGGTGGGTGGATGGGTAGATGAATGGGTGATGGATGGT